TAGTATCCTTTTGGGCCCCCCTTTTTTTAATAATAATCTTTCTCTCTGTCTGTGTATATCTTATCTCTTTATCTTTATGTATAGCAGAACCCTTCTGCTATGTTTATAGTGTTCAATTTATAATGAAATCTTGCTTTACAATGAATAATTTCTAAAAATTTGCAAGTGGAAAACCAGAAAGAGTTAACACTATAGAGGGAGAGTCAATGTGGATGTGGTTGTGTGTAACACTCAGGAGGCTGGGGCATAAGGAACACAAGTTCAAGATCAGCATCATATTGATTATTTAGTGATACTCATGTCACTAAATCAAACCATGCCAACAATACCAAGAATGGAGTCATACCCATTTGTGTTTTCAAGAAACTTGCAAAGTAAAATGGTGTAAGCAGTGCGTTAACTTTTTTGAGCTTGAACTTGGAACTATGGCTGTGTCAGTGTGATTATTCGTATTTACTACCGAACACTGAACGATTTAGTTGAGAATGGAAGGTATAGTTCTATAGCACTGAGCCTGCCATCAAGCATGCCATGTTTTTTAAACTAAAACTTTTACTCTCGGACCTTAGTTTTTACAACATGCCTGCCATCCACTCCAAAATACTACAAAATATCAGCTCTCTTCACTTTGATTAATGTTGCATTGTCAGAGTGATGAATTCTTCTTGAGTATAATTTGAAAGATAATATCATTCTAAGGGGAAGAAAAGTTGAGGTGAGAATTTAGAACAGTTACAAGATGAAATCTGACGATCACACCATGGGATGAAGGGTGTGGGGGAACATAGAAATGCTGGCAGTAAATCATATTCTTTGACTCCAGTGAAATACATGATTTACTGTGTTCTTAAAAGGCTGTTTTTTATTGGAATTTAAGCATCCCAAACATGGAGTATTGTTGCACAGGGAAATTTATACAATCCTAGTCTCCTTATTTTATTCCCACCTGTTAGCAGTGCTGTACTTAAATTTTCATGTTTAGAATATATAAAAAATTACCCTTTAGTTATTTCTCAACTTGAAAACAATTTATTAATATATGGTATAATACTATGATTAATAGATATATGAATCCATTATAAACACAATAATCTATCTATCTATCTATCTATCTATCTATCTATCTATCTATTGCAAATTCATTGGCAATTTTGTGTCTAAGATGGTAACTGTTGTATTATTGAATGAAAGAAAATGTGACTTGAATCACAAGTTTAAATATGTACCCCTAAATAGACACAAAACTTTTCTGGAATGGTAATTTATATTTTAATGCTAAGCCAAATACAAAAGCCAAACATGTTAATATAAATTAAAAACAAAAATTCACTATTTTCTTCTCAGATTAGGTGACAATAACTGAGATGGAGTCAAGCAGAGAGAGATCTGTGGTGTACAAGTCACTTTTGTCTCTCAGTAATTCTTACCATCTTTTCAAACTGGATTTTCAAAATTAATTAATTAATTATATTTATATTACATTCACACCTTAGTTTCCCCTCCCTCCTATCTGGCCATTCCCCTTCTTCCCTATGCCCCACCCCTACCCCCAATCCATCCCTTCTCTGTTTCTGTTCATAAGATAGAAGGATTAACAAAGCATGGCATATCAAGTGGTGGTAAAACTAAGCACATTCCCTTGTTTTGAGACTGGGCAAGGCAACACAGTGTGATGAATATGGTTCCAATAGGCAGCTAAAGCCTTTGGACAAGCCTCTGATGCCATTGTTAGGAGTCCCACAAATTGATCAAGATAAACCACTGTCACATATATGTATGGGCATAGGTTGGTACCCTGCAGGCTCCCTGGTTGTTGGTTCAGACTCTGTAAGTTCCTATGAGCCTAGTTAATTGTTTCTGAGGGGTTTCTTGTGATGTCCTTGTCGTCGTCTTCTGTCTCAGACAATCCTTCCTACCTCTCTCAGTAGGATACCCCAAGCACAACCAAATGGTTTGCTGTGGGTCTCTGCATCTGGTTCCATCAGTTACAGTATGAAGACTCTTTTATGACAATTAGAATAGTCACCAGTCTGATCACAGAAGATGAACATCACAGAAGATGTCCATGTTGCAAGGAAATTAGCTGGGGTCATTCTTGTAGATTTGCGGAAGTTTCCCATGAATCAAGTTTCTGCCTGGCCCAGAAATGCCCCCACTTCTAGTCATCTCTTTCAATATTCTCCCTCTCGATGAACCTCCCAACCCAATCCCTCAAGTTTCCATCCTGACCCATGCCCAGTTCATCCAGTATCTCTCTTCTATTTTCAATTCCCAGGGAAATCCATTTAACAGCTGAATAATAATATGTTGTGTAAATGCACCACATTTTGCTCATCCATTCTTCAGTTGCAGGGCATCTAAGTTGTTTCCAGGTTCTGGCTATTACCAGTAAAACTGCTATAAACATAGTTGAGCAAGCGTCCTTCTTGTACAATTGAATATGCCCAAGAGTGGCAGGGGAGGGGCTTTTTTTTTTTTTTTTTTTTTTTTTTTTTTTTTTTTTTTGGTTTTGGTCTTTCGAGACAGGTTTCTCTGTGGCTTTGGAGGCTGCCCTGGAACTAGCTCTTGTAGACCAGACTGGTCTCGAATTCACAGAGATCCACCTGCCTCTGCCTCCCGAGTGCTGCAGGGTCTTGGTGATTGATTATAATATCCTGAGAAACTTCCATACTGATTTCCAAAGTGGCTGTACATGTTTGCACTACTATCAGAAATGGATGATTATTCCCTTGCTGTCATTAGTGTTTTTGATCTTAGCCATTCTGACAGGTATAAGACGAAATCACAGTGTCATTTTGATTTTCCTTTCCCTCATGACAAAGGATGTTGAATATTTCCCATGTTTCTCTGCCTTTTGAGATTCTTCTGTTGAAAATTCTCTATTTAGTTTTGTACCACACTTTTAATTTAGATTATTTGTTTTTCCAACTCAACTTTCTTTATATATTTTCCCATTCTGTACGCTACTATTTTGACCTATTGATTGTGTCCTTTACCTTACTGAAGTTTTTTAGTTTCAGGAGGTCCCAGTTCTTAATTGTCACTCTTAGTGTCTGTGCTACTGATATTCTATTCAGGAAGTTGTCTCCTATTCCAATGCATTCAGGGATTTTTCCCATTTTCTATTCTATCAGTTTCAATGTAACCGGATTTATGTTGATGTCTTTGACCTACTTGGGCATGAGATTTGTACAAGGTGATAGATGTAGATCTATTTGAATTCTTCTACATGTCGACATCCAGTTAGGCCAGCATCATTTGTTGAAGATACTTTCTTTTTCCATTGTATAATTTTGTCTTCTTTGTCAAGAAATCGTGTCTATAGGTGTGTTGATTTCTGTCTGGGTCTTTGATTTGATTCCATTGATTCTCTTGTCTATTTTTATGCCAATACCATGATGATTTATTACTATAGTTGTGCAGTAGAGCTTAGCAGTTATTTTATTTTGCAGGAATATTTTAGCTATCCTGTTTTTGTTATTGTTTTTCCATATGAAGATGAGTATTGTACTTTCAAGACCTATAAAAATTGTGTTCAGATTTTGATGCTGATTGCATTTTCCCTCAATGATTGCATAAAGTAATATGGCATTCTATTCGAGGGTAGCATAGTGGAGAGGAAGTGACTCTTTAGATTTACACACCTCCCTGCTCTGTTGCCACTGACTATGTTACCAAAGACTAGTTATTTCAGCTTTCTGAGATTCATTTACTTCATCCTTAAAACAACAACAAAATGGCTACATTTTAGAGTTTCCTTGAGTACTAAACAGCATAATCTTTTAAACAAGCTTAGAATAGTATGAGTTCCAAATACCGCTGTCAGATGGCTGCCACTGTTAGAGTGGTTGATGTGAGAAGGAACCATGCAAGCGTCCAAAGGAGGAAAGTAGCTAGCAGTTCTTCTAAGCTATGGTGACCATGAACCATAACTACCAACATGGCACAATTCACAGTAGTGCCACCCATAGACTGGCAGTAACAGCAGCTCTTTTGTTGGACATACAACCTGCCAAACAAAAGGGAAATCATGCCTGGTACTGGAATACTACCTAACTACTCAGGGATAGTGAAATTATGAATCTTGGAGAAGAACCTACAATTGCTATCTTACCAAGTCAGCATTTTCCATAACTACATTTTAAGGATTTGTTTACTACCCTCTATCCACAGGTAAGTGGGTATTTCACACTGAAATAAGGAAACTTCCCTTCAGAACAGACAGGGACCATTGCAAAAAAATCACTACCTATCAAAATGTACAAGTATGAAGTTCAGTTCCCATAAATACACCTATAAATACAACTTGTTGCCCCGAGGAAAAGGGGGCAGAAATAATGAAAGAGCCAAGGGTTCCAGAAGTTTGCTGTGGGATTGTTTCTCCTAGTAGGGCTTAAAGCTATAGCCACAAAGTCTCATAAACATGAATGCCTAAAATAGCTGAACAAAAAATAACAATAGACTTGTGAAAGCGCATCGGGGACAAGCTCATTAGGCCTCAATCATGTATAAAGAAATACAGACAAGTAAGGAAGAAATCACCTTCCCCAGGGAACAGCACAACAATTGTTCACCTAATACCAAATTGTGAGCCCTGAAAACTTATATCCCAGTATCATTATACAGATTAATTTAGGAAAATAAATACATGTGCACATACTTGTATTCAGGTGACGACATTAAATGAAAAAAATGACATGTATTTGAACAACTTAACAATAACCCATAAGCATAGGTTCAACTGAAAAATGACATGTATTTGAAGAGAGTAAGGAGGAATGTATGGTAAGGTTTGAAAGGAGAAAGGGGAGGGGGAAATAGTATAATTATTTTATGATCTCAAATAACAAAAAGCAAAAGTGCCAGTTTTTCATTTTAAATGTCAATTGAATTTTATTGAATTTAATGAGTCATACGACACTGAAAACTCGATTTATTGTTTGTAAACTGCTTAGGCTCCCATATTAAGCTTCTTGACACCACTTTTCCTTTCTTAATAGGCAAAGTCTCAAATCTTATCCAATGTGCTAGATGTTGCTCATCGATTTATAAAAGAACCAATTCCACCCAGTGAAGGGAATAGTTCTGTGGAAACATCCACTAAAAGTCAACAGAAACCCAAAGCCCGACTTCTTCAGGAGAAGAGCTCTGAGGTAAATTGAGGAGGACAAAGTAATATATTTCCTGCCCTACATATGGTGACTACCATTCATATTCGTTACCAGAGATGCACATTTGGGGACATTGCTTTATAAAATTGTTAGTTATTATTTAATTGCTTTAGTAATAGAATATATTTAGACTATAAAAATAATCTTAAGATTACCTTAATTCCTTTGAAAATTTTTCTTTTAAATGAAAAAATTGAAAATAAGGCTTTCTGAGCATTTTGACTATATCGGGGATTATATGAATGTTTGAGAGAAAACATTAAAAGCTAAGATATAATGTAACAATTAGAATTTACACATCCTCAAAATACAAAGGTGACAGGCAATTTCATCAGTGTATAAAGGGGGATGAATACCAAAATCTGGCAGTTATTCAGATTAACGACTGATCACACAGGGTGTTACATATACTTTTAGCTTCACATTTCTCTCTCTATATATAAATGTATAGATATGTGTAATAGATTCATATCATTTTAACAATAGACTGAATGTAGTATATTTACTGAGAAAATGTGAACAAAAGAAACTCCCCCAAGTGGGATATTTCCAGAGAAAGAATCCCTTTCAATTGCATCTTTAGCAAGAAACAAGCTATCTTCTGACTGACACTGTAATCCTCTTTCCCCTATGTAGTACTCATTTTTTTCCCAGTAGCTCACAGACTGTGGGTTACTTGGCTAGTCACTGTGGTTGCCTAATTGATGATTATGTTTGGATCGAACTGAAGTCTGCTGTGTTTCAAATCCATGTACATAAGTGTTGTATTTCAGCATGACCTTTTTCCTTCACAGGGGCTGTGTGTGAACTTTTCCAGAGAAAGGACACATTTTCATGTATTTCTTTTTGTCATAGACCTACCAAAGATGTACTGTGAACATCACTGGATGAGTTATAGCCTTATAATTGTAATGTGATATACAGGAAATAATTATACTATTTTATTTAGATCATAACCATAACTTTTTTCTTTTACCTTTTCATACAGTATATTCTGATCGAAGTTTCCCCACTGTCATTTCCTCCCAGATCCTCTACACCCCCTACCATATGCAATTCCATGTCTTAATTCTCCTTAGAATATATACAGGATAATAAAACAAAGAAGTAAACCAAAATAAAACAGCAAACAGACAAACAGAAAAGAAAAGGAAAACATTAAGAATTATGAGACAAAATAATGTGCCTTTGCAAATGAAAATCTGATGGAAATGATTATGTCTAATAAAGTGTGCATAGAGCTACCCATCTACTTGGCAACAGCCTGAGTTAATGAGGAATTTCCATGATACTATTTCATCAAACAACCCAGTTAGATATAATCACTTCCTAGTACTGGAAGTTTCACCTGGTGGCAAGGTAGATCTAGTTGGGTTTTGTTTCCCTGTTATTTGTTGATTCTATTTAGATTTCATTGATGTGTGTATACATTTTAAGAAGCTTCTACTGTACTAGGTTTCCATATGACTCCTCCAATTGTTCTTAGTGTTAACTGATTCTCCCCTTATTCCCAACCCCCAATTTATTTCTCCATTTTCTGTCCATCCCTATTTATACGTCCTACATCTTATGATTTCCTTCCCTCACCCCTAGTCCTTTACTCAATGTATAGACTCTTGTACAGACAGTAACATGCTTATTGATGGCTTCAAAGACAGCATCCACATGTAAGAGTTTCACATCATGTCTGTCTTTTGTGGTATGGGTTATTTAACTCAGAATGATTTTTTCTAGCATCATTCATTTACCTACAAATTTCATGATTCTTATTTTAAACAGATGAGTACATTGTGTTAATGTTCATATACCATATTTTTATTATTCATTCGTTTATTGATGGGCATCGTGCTGCTTCTGATTTCTTACTGTTGCAGCAATGAACATGGCTGAACAAGCATCTCTGTATTAGGATGAGGCATATTTTAGGTATATGTCCAGGAATGCTAGAACTGGATCTTGAGGTCAGTTAATCACCAGCTTCCTGAGGAAATAACACACTGATTTCCAAAGTGTGTGTAAAAGTTTCTACTCTCACTGATAATGGATGAGTGTTTGCTTTTGCCTGCATACTCTTTAGTGCAAACTGTCATTTGCTTTAGTGTCATACAATTCTGATTTTTATAAGATGAAATCTCAAAGTAGTTTATATTCACATTTCCTTGATGGCTAAGGGTGTTGAACATTTAAAATTTTCTTAGTCTTTTGTGTTTCATCTTCTAAGAGCTCTCTATTAAGCAGAAGCCTATTAATATTACAACCCAATTTTGGGAGGACAGAGTTTCTCTGTGTAGCTTTTGGAGCCTGTCCTGGAACTTGCTCTGTAGACCAGGCTGGCCTTAAACTCACAGAGATCTGCTTGCTTCTGACTCTGAAGGGATTAAAGGCATGTGCCACCACTGCCAAACTAGAACTCTATTTTTTAATTTGGTTAATATTTTTCTTGATGTTCAATTTTTTGGTACTTAATATATTTTAGATATTAGCTTCCTATTGGCTGTGTGATTGATAAAAATCTTTCCTATTCTGCAGACTTCCTATTTGTCTGAATTGTGTTAGGAGTTTTGTTTGTTTTGCCATACAGAAATTTTTCTTTTTCATAAGGTTACATTTACTAATTCTTGATTTTAGTGTCTGTATTATTTATTGATTCTTGATCTTATTGCCTATGCTATTCATTGGTGTCTTGTTTTGTACCAATGAATGCAAAGTTATGCTTTCTCTTCTATCAGATTCAGACATTTTCCCTTATCTTAATGCCCTTGATCCATTTGTAGTTAATTTTTCTGCATAGTAATAAATATGAATCTATTTGGATTCTTATACTTGCAGCCATTCAGTTTGACCAGCACCATTTGTAAAGATTCTTTTGTTTCATCAATGCATGTAGCTTCTTCATTAAAAGAGATGTCATCTGTTTAATTCTATTAATCAACTTGTCTGTTTTTATGCCATTACCATGTTGCTTTTATTGCTAAAGCTCTTTAGTCCAATTTGAGAGTGGTAGTACCTGTAGCCTGTAGCATTTCTTTTACTATTCAGAGTTGTTTTGGTATCCTTGATTTTCTCTCTCTCTCTCTCTCTCTCTCTCTCTCTCCCCCCCTCCCCCCCGCTGTGTGTGTGTGTGTGTGTGTGTGTGTGTGTGTGTGTGTGTGTGTGTGTGTGTGTGTGTGTGTGTGTGTGTGTGCTTTCATATAGAGCTTGAAAAATTTCTTTCAAGTTTTGTGAAGAATTGTGCCATTTCATTTTTGGTAGGCTGGCCACTTTTACTGTATAACTTATTGATCCTTGAAAATGGGAGACCTTCTGTCTTCTGATATCTTCTTTAGTGTCTGAAAGTTTTTATTATAGATGTCTTTCAATAGTTGTTTCAGAATTTCTGCAAAACATCTTTCTTTCATTCTTTTTTTGAGGCTATAGTTTGAGGTATTGCTTCTCTGATTTCTTTCTCAGTTTGTGATTTTTGTGTGTATATTTGAAGCCACAGATTTTCATATGACAATTTTTTTTAACTGTGCTACTTTGCTAAAAGTGCTTGTCTGTTACAGAATTTTCTTTTCTTTTATTAATGAAATCTATTTTTTTACTAGAAACAATCTAGAGTGTCCCTCTATGGGAAAGGGACTCCCAAAGTCCATTTGTACACTGAGGATAAATACTGATCCACTACTAGAGGCCCCATAGGCTGTCCAGGCCTTCTAACTAACACCCACATTCAGGGGGCCTGGTTTGATCCTTTGCTGGTTTCACAGCTGTCAGTCTGGGGACCATGAGCTCCCCCTTGTTCAGGTAAGCTGTTTCTGTGGGTTTCCCCAGCCTGGTATTTACCCCTTTGCTCATTACTCCTCCCTCTCTACAACTGGATTCCAGGATTTTGGCTCAGTGCTTAGCTGTGGGTCTCTGCTTCTTCCTCTATCAGCTATTGGATGAAGACTCTTGGATGGCATATGAGGTAGTCATCAATCTCATTATAGGGGAAGGGCATTTAAGGTAGCGTCTCCACTATTACTTAGGTTGTTAATTGGGGTCATCCTTGTAGATCTCTGGACATTTCCCTAGTGCCAGATTTTTCTTTAAACCTATAATTGCTATCTCTATTAAGTTATTTCTTTTCTTGGCCTCCTCCTTCTCCCTCATGTCCTCCTCCTCACTCGTCTTCTCCCATTCTCTTTCTCCTAACTCCCTCCCCCCTCCTCCCCATGCTCTCAATTTGCTCAGGAGATCTTGTTCCTTTCTCCTTCTCCAGGGTACCATGTATGCCTCTCATAGGGTCCTCCTTGTTTCCTAGCTTCTCTGGAGGTGTGGGTTGTAGGCTGGTAATCTTTTGTTTTATGTCTAATATCCATGTATGAGCGAGTACATGCCATGTTTGTCTTTTTTGTGACTGGGTTACCTCACTCAGGAGAGTTTCTTCTAGTTCCATCCATTTGCCTGCCTGCAAATTTCAAGATTCCTTTTTTTTTTCTGCTGAGCAGTACTCCATTGTATAAATGTACCACATTTTCTTTATCTATTCTTCAGTTGAGGAACATCTAGCTTTCTTCCAGGTTCTGGCTATTACAAATAATGCTGCTATGAACATAGTTGAACAGATGTCCTTGTTGTATGAATGTACATGAAAAGAGATACTTTAATAGAGGGAGCCATTATAGGTTTGGGATATATGCCTAAAAGTGGAATAGTTGTCATGGGACATTTTAGGATAATTTTTATATAATATCATACTACACTGGGTAGTGGAGGAACAGACCTCTGATCCTAAAACTCAAGAGGAAGAAGCAGGCAATCTCTGAGTTTGAGGCCAGCTTGGTCTACATATAGAGTGACTTCCAAGTGAGTTCAAATACTATATTGAATAAATATGGAGAGAGTGAATAACCTTTTGTTTAACCTGATCTTAGTGGAAATGCTTCAGGTTTTCTCTGTTTAGGTTGATATTGGTTTTTGGCTTGCTGTAAATTACCTTTATTATGCTGCAGTAGGTC